ATAATGAACTAAATGGGCACTTAAAAGAGATTGAGAATATATGTTGGATTTGAATACTCTTTGATAATTCAATATCTTAAACCATGAATAAGAGATCTGTTTACGACTCGATTTATTGATCTGTCATTTTGATAAAATAATTTTTTCAACATTAAAATGAGAGAGTAAACAAAATAAGTAGTTAAAAATGTTGAAAAAAAGATTACATGAAGTACTCTATCTTATATCATCTTAATTCTTGTATAAAATATGTGAACTATAAGTTCAAAAGATAATTCATTTACAAGGTATTACAAATCAACCGTCCGATGCATTCTCGGATCCTAAATGAATAACTAAAATGCATGCCTCCATCAAGAATGCTCCTATTATAATTGATATCATAGAAGGACAATCTATTAATGTTTATAGCAAGTGAATCTAAAAGCAAAAATACTTCAAAAAAAAGGTAAATAATTAAAATAAAAACAGAGGATGCAAATATTCATAAAACAGTTTAAGATATTTCTAATAATAGGCTTCGGAGGAAGTCTAAATGGTTGAGAAAAATCAATAGATTTTGATAAATTATATCAATACATGGAGAAAATAGGACCGAAAAGAAACATTATTGATAAAAATTTTACATCTAATATTATAATTAATATTTTAAATAAAAGTAAAGATTCTGATCTTAAATTTATTGGCTTAAATGAAAAGAGCAATCCGGAGAGAATTATATTCTCTTGCAAAATAGTAGTTTTTTAATCTACTCGTCAAAACTTCGAAGATATTTAGCCGATGAGATACAAATGAGTATTTTTGTGAAAAAAAAACGAGAAGGATGAAATTATGAGATACAAAGCAAGACTTGTAACATAAAAGTTTTTACAAAGACTTGACATTAACTATGAAGAGGCATATTCTTCTAGAATGAATGCTATTACATTTTGTTATCTCGTTAGCTTGAAAAAATATATGAAAAACTTCATATGCATACATTTAATGAATGTGATTAGAGCTTATTTGTTAATTTAAAATGATATCTATATGAAAGTCCTAGAAGGGCTTAACATGCTTGAAGCTCATAGTACATATTCTCAAGAAATAAATTCAATTAAATTATAGAGATTTCTATCAATATTATTTTAATATTTATTTTATTATTTTAGTTTTTAAATATTCATTTTATGCTATACTTTTTATATTTGTATCTATTATTTATTACTAACCTATGTGCATATGATATAGTCGTTTCAATAAATATTTATTGAAAGAAGGTTATAAAAATAACCTTATTTATTCATGTATCTTTATAAAGAATTTGAAAATAGGTTTATGATAGTTGTTATATATGTTGATGATTTAAATATTATTGGAAGTCCTGAAGAGATTCTAAGTGCCATAAGTTATCTAAAAGGAGAATTTGATACAAAATACCTTGAAAAAACAAACTTTTATCTCAACTTCCAATTCCAGACACTTAGAGAATAAAATTTTTATTCATCGGTTAATTTATATAGAAAAAATTCTAAAATGATTATATATAAAGCTCGACCATTGATTAGTTCAATAGTAGTTCGTTCACTTGATATTTAAAAAGACCCTTTTTGAATTCAAAAAGATAACAAAGAATTATTTGGTCCTAAAGTATCATATTTTAGTGCAACTGGTGCATTGATATATCTTGCTAATAATACTCGACTCGATATAGCTTTTTTTATAAATTTATCCGCAAGTCATAGTTCTACTCTAATATGGATATATTATAATGGAATTAAACATTTCCTACGTTATATTCGAGGAAAAATTGATATAGTATTCATTTTACTCAAGTAAATTAAAATCAAGTTTAATTGGTTATGCATATATAGGTTATTTATCCGATCCATACAAAATTCAATCACAAAGTTTATGTACTTACACATGGTAATACATCTATATCATGATGTTTTATGAAGTAAACTATAGCTACTAGATATTCAAATCATGCATAAATACCAATTCAAGAGACAAGTCGAAAATATATTTGGCTAAGATCAACGATCCATCATATCCAAGATACATGCGATTTATCTACCAACGAAGAAGTTTCAATAATATTACATGAAGATAATGATGCTTTCATACTTCAATTAAAGGAAGAATACATCGAAGTAACAATTTGACGAGACTTATTCACTAAGGCATTACCTACCATGGTTGTTGAGAAAATGGTTCATAAGAAAGGGGTGGTTTAAAGATATTAAATGATGTTTTCAACATGGAGAGTCTCAATATAGAGATTAATGTGTATAAAGAAAATAAAGAATTTTTTTCTCAAGGTGATACAACTATATTATGACATTCTATGAATGTAGGTTATTTATCTAATCCATAAAAAACTCGATTACAAACAAGTTATGTATTTACACATGGTAATACAACTATACTATGACATCCTATGAAGTAAACTATACCTGCTAGATATTCAAACCACGTAGAATTACCAATTCAAGAGGCAAGTCGAGAATGTGTTTGGCTAAGATCAATGATCCATCATATCCAAGAGACATGCGATTTATCTACCAGAGAAAAAGTTTCAACAATATCACATGAAGATAACGATGCTTGCATACTTCAATTAAATGAAGAATACATCGAAGTGACAATCCGATAGACTTATTCACTAAGGCATTACCTACCATGGTTTTTTAGAAAATGGTTTGCAAAAGAGGCATGGTTTAAAGATCTTAGATGATGTTTTCAACATGGAGAGTCCCAATATGAAGATTAATGTGTATAAGGAATATAAAGATTTTTTTCCCCAAGGTGATACGACTATATTATGACATTTTATGAATGTAGGTTATTTATCTAATTCATACAAAACTCGATCATAAACGAGTTATGTATTTACACATGGTAATATAGCTATATCATGATGTTCTATGAAGCAAACTATAGCCATCGGATATTCAAACCATGCGAAATACCAATTCAAGAGGCACGTCGAGAATGTGTTTGACTAAGATCAACGATCCATCATATCAAGAGACATGCGATTTATCTATTAGCAAAAAAGTTTCAATAATATTATATGAATATAATGTTGCTTGCATACTTCAATTAAAGGAATAATAAATTGAAGTGACAATCGACGGACTTATTCACCGAGGCATTACCTACCATGGTTTTTGAGAAAATAGTTCGCAAGAGAGGCATGGTTTTAAGATCTTAAATGATGTTTTTCAACGGGGAAAGTCCCAATATAGAGATTAATGTGTATAAGAAACATAAAGAATTTTTTTCCCAAGGTGATACGAGCTATAATATGACATTCTATAAAGTAAACTATAGCTGCTAGATATCCAAATCATGTGAAAATACCAATTCAAGAGGCAAGTCTAGAATGCATTTGGCTAAGATTAATGATCTATCATATCCAAGAGATATGCAATTAAAGGAAATAAGTTTCAACAATATTACATGAAGATAATGTTATTTGCATACTTTAATTAAAGGAAGATTACATCGAAATGGCAATCCGACGGACTTATTCACTAAGGCATTACCTAAATGGTTTTTGAGAAAATGGTTCACAAGAGAGGCATGATTTAAAGATCTCAAATGATGTTTTCAACAAGGAGAGTCCCAACATAGAGATTAATGTGTATAAAGAACATTGTATTATTTTTCCTTCATTATAATTTTTTTCCCAATGGTCTTTTTCTTAATAAGGTTTTAACGAGGCATGCTTATTGTACGATTGACATTCAAGGGGGTGTTGTGAAATAATAAATGTCCATATAAATATTCTTCATATCCTCACTACTCATAATTCTTAATGTGATTCAACTTATCCTTTAATATGAGAAATTGAAAGGATGATGCGATCGATTCAACAATTTATAAGCTTGATTGTTCATTAGTTGATGTACAAGTATTTTGTAGATATTGAGAGAATCATTTGAAGTTGTTATCCATTGTATTAATTTTATTTTATAGTGAATTCATTTTTCTATCATCTTTATCTTTAATTATACTATTGTTATCATTTCTTTTATAACATTTTTATAATAAATATGATTTTTAATAAAAAAATATCCAATAGTGTGTAGTCATACCCATATACAAAGAACAAAAAAGAAAGATCAAGGTCAAAATATACTTTATCTAAATTTTCCACTTTAGGGGTTATTTATTTGTTTCTTTGTTTGTTGAAACTTTTAGGACCAACAATTTAATTAACAAAAACAGCAGGGACCTTTTCGCTAAAAAAAAAAAGTCATTATATCTTCCTCCGCTTATTTATTAAACTCAGAAGCTTCCTTCGTCCAAACAGAAAAAAATCTCTCTTTCACAGACCAAAACGCTGTTGTTTTGTTGACGCTTTCAAATTAGGGTTTCAATCAAAGCTTCAGCTCAGCAAAATCGGCGCTTTCAACAGGTAACCCGCTTGGTTCCCTAGAAAACCCGAGAAAATGTTTATTTTTTATTTGGAAACTGAGCTAAAAATTTGATTTTTTTTTTTTTTGTGTGCTTGCGGTAGATCTGGCTTTTATTATTGTAGATCTGTTATTTAGGGTTTGGTTGTACGGCTCTGATTTTGATTTCGTATCTGTTTTATTGTTGATTGTTGAATATAAACAATTTTGGTACTTCTGTTTAGGGTTTGTTGAAGAACTCTAATTGAGACTGAAATAGCCTTTGAAACTCGTTTAAAATGTGTAATTTGCAAAAGATTAAGGCTTGATTGGTTAAAGAATAAAAACCCATAAAAATTTTAGGGTTTGAAGCTCTTTAAAAATGTATAATTTGCAAAAGATTAAGACTTGATGGGTAAAAGATTAGACTTAAAGGTGTGCTCTTTTCGCAATTTTGACATAAAATTGTGAGTTTGTTTGAGAACCCGTTAGAATATAATGATGTTAGACTTAGAATACTTTGTTAATTGGAGCTTAAGCTTGCTATTGTCATTTGATTGAAGTGTTTTTTTTTGTTTTTCATTTATTTATGTGAAATGTCTGTGGCCAGGCAGAATGAGGCCTATCTTTTGTGGCAACTTTGAGTATGATGCAAGACAGACTGAGCTGGAACGACTCTTCAAACGATATGGGAGAGTAGAACGGGTGGATATGAAGTCTGGTAAGTTTATGTTCTTTCCTCACTGGCTATTAAATCCATTTAACTTTTTTCCATTAGCTTTTGTCTCCCTTTTTTTTCCTTGAAAAATTTTGTGATCTGAATGGTTATTTTAGCTTTGATGTTGAAAGTGAAATCGATAGCTGTGGGAATTGTGAGGTTGTGATTGTTATTTGTGTTACATAAAGATACTTCTTAAGTTAATTGCAATGAAGAAAAGGATTTTCTTGTTTGGACCCAAATTATTTGAACAATGGATTCTTGGGTTAAGTATTTAGAAAATTTTATATAAATGTTTGGTTGATATGAAAAAAAATAATAATACTATAATTGATTTATATGTTATGAAAGTATTGGATGATGTTGCATTTGGTTCTATTCTGCCTGAATGGAAAAAGGTACGTCAGTGCAGTTTGAAAGTGGTAGAGGTACACATGGTACTATTTGAGTTGACTCTTGTCACTGCTGTTATTTTTTGTTATGAGCGATGACATCAACAGAACCATTCCCGAATTACTTAAAGTTGTATGGCAGGGTAAGATATGGTTGGCATCCAGCTGCCTGAGTTTTTAATTTTTTTTCATTAAAATAATTGATTTTTATCTTTGCAGACAAAGGATATTTAATCTTAGAATTAATTAATAAGATAATAATGTTTAATGCTTTCCCACTCGATGTGGAAAACATTGTTTAAAAATTATGCATGCGCCTTTCTGGAACAAATTGGCAAATCCTACAGCAACCAGCCAAGTCGGTGGGACCACTCTCCAATGATTATGAGAGGCACTTGCCCTTCATACCAGTAGTGCAACAGCATGATTGAGACATTTGTCAGACTATGCGACTCAGCGGCTATAATCATCCTTTGTTGAGTTCTAGTGGGGGTTCAGGATTTATTAATGAAAAAAGACAAGTATTTTTTTGAGGCATAAACCCCCATACTCAACATTTTCTTTGGCGCAGGATTGTCTTGGGAAATCCATACTATTTCCGGCTAATGGATGGCTGTTCAGAATTCTGTTCCTTTCCTGTGACAAGCTTCTTCTTGTTTTCAAGAAGAGTCACTCATATCCGCAATGGCAGAACCATGCCAATTTTCCTCAGACACCATTGCCTTTCATTTCTCATGACTTTTGCCCAGCCTTCAATTCCAGACATGTTTCAATATTGAAACATTGTCGACCTCCCAGCAGAGGCAGCAGAATAGATGGAGAAGGCACTCTATTTTCATTGACCCTCCATGAGACATCCACATTTGGATTCTAGTTCCTTGACATCATTTAGTTCATCTCACACAAGGTCTGTTGCTACTTTTACTGGTCACTTAGTTTATAGATTTCAGGAAGGTTGCCAAATTTTATTCGAGGGTTGGGGTTTAGGCGGTTTGTGTGCTGCTGACCAAGAAATACCATCTGATTATCAAAGAATCCTTTCAGGGAAGGATTCTTGTTCCTTTTATAGTGAACATGATAGTACTATATTTACTGAGCGTCTTTTTGCTGTACTTGGATGCAGGATTTGCTTTTATCTACATGGAAGATGAGAGAGATGCTGAGGATGCAATTCGAGGACTTGATCGCATAGAATTTGGTCGCAAGGGCCGCAGACTTCGGGTTGAATGGACAAAGGTATAACATGCTTTACTTCTTATCTGGTCTAGATTTTGAATGTCTTTTCACCTTTTTCTTCTTTTTGTTCAAGTTATGCATCTTTGATGAGCTGAGTTGCTGTAATTGTTGCTATTTTGTAGCAAGAACGTGGGATTAGAAGGCCTGGTGGCACATCAAGAAAATCATCTAATACAAGGCCTTCGAAGACATTATTTGTTATTAACTTTGATCCACATCTTACGAGGACTAAGGATTTGGAGAGGCACTTTGAGCCATATGGGAGGATAGTGAGTGTAAGGATAAGAAGAAATTTTGCATTTGTTCAGTATGAAGCACAGGAGGATGCAACCAAAGCATTGGAAACCACAAACATGAGGTTAATTTTCCTTGCTACTCTTTAAACTTCTCTTGCCCTGTTCTTTCATAAATTTTGATCCTCCTATTTTTGGAAGACATCAATGACTTCTTCTCTATTTCAGTAGTGTAACATGCTTTTCCTGTCCTACTGTAGAAAAACACACCAACCATCCAGGGTTCTGGGGTTGGATTTCCAGTGGGTCCTGTTTTGATGTTCTGATTTTGCTCACTTGCTGATTTGTATGTCTGTTTGTTATTCAGCAAGCTGCTGGACCGAGTTATTTCAGTGGAATATGCAGTTCGAGATGATGATGAGAGGAGGGATGGATACAGTCCTGATAGAAGTCGTGATAGGTCACCAGATAGGCGGGGCCATGATAGGAGGCGCTCTCCAAGTCCCTATCGAAGAGAAAGGGGAAGCCCTGATTATGGCCGTGGCCCCAGTCCTTATCGTAAAGAGAGGGGTAGCCCAGATTATGGCCGTCGCCGCAGCCCTAGCCCCTATAAGAGAGCTAAGGCTAGCCCTGACTATGGCCGGGGCCCAAGTCGTAGTCCTTATAGGAGAGAGAGGGCTGGCAGTGACCATGGTCGTGTCCCCAGCCGAAGTCCTTACCGCAGGGACAAGGCTAGTCCTGTCAATGGTCATGGCCCCAGTGATAGTCCTTATCAAAGGGAAGAAAGGCTTAGCCCTGAAATTGGTCGTGGCCTGAGTCCCTGTAGTCCATATGGAAGAGAAAGGTCTAACCCAGATAATGGTCGTGGTTCTAGCCGTAGTCCCTATGAAAGAGATGGGGCTAGCCCTGAAAATGGTAAACGGAGAAGCCCAAGCTCCATTCCTGATGAAAGGGACAGTCCAAATGGAGGGGCTGAAAGCCCCATGCAGGAGAGATACCGCAGGTTTGCATCTTAATACCTTATTTCAATTTCATGTTTTTATGTCTTTTGAACATATTTCGTATAACCCAATATTCTGCTCCAATGTTGCAGTCAATCACCCCCAGCAGATGAATGATGCTGATCCTGATCAGTCCTAAGTGAGCTCCCTCTGCTTATATTTGTTTGTCAGTTTGATGGAATTAGGTTGACAATCTCAATATGTGCTTCATCATTTTCCGTCATCAATTATCAGAAGAGTTTAGCTGCAATTTGTGTTTCTATCTTGTAACGTAGGATCTAGTTTGTGCTAGTTTGTAGTATTGTGCTTTCGATTTCTCTATGCGAAAACATGTCCTCTCTTGTTGGTTTTGAACTAGATAGAAACCATTTATTTCAAAACATGTTGCTTGCTTATGCATCATCTCGGCTACACTCATTTGCTTTGATGGTTCCTGTTGTATGATTTTGTGGATGCCTTTTACTTTGTACTGCCGCAAATGTTATCTTCTGTTTAATCGCTTGAGTCTTACCAAATTTCAAGATTGTTATGGTTTATGTAAGACCAAAGATTGGTGTATCTTGGTTCTTGGCCATGTTGCTTCTCTGAGCATCATGCCCCTTTGAAGAGCCCAAATTGGATTTGTATTATATGGTTGTGTAGATGGATATTATTGGATTAGAAAGAACTAATTGGATACATGCGTCATGTGGCGGTGCGATCAGACAATTGTTATATATGTAAGGTAAACAATTCGTATGATATAATATAGGTAAAAATCTTATTTTTCGTAATTAATATAAATCAAATTTATTTGTTAAGAAAAATTATTTGATTTATGTATATTTATTAACAAAATAATTAATAATGTTAGTATAGAAAGTTGTATTTGAATAATTAAAAAGTTATTTTAAAATATTATTTTTATTTAAAAAATATTGATTTTAGAACTTGAAAAAGAATAAATAATAAATAATTAGTGTTAAAGTGTGTAGATATATAAGCAATTTTTAATAAAATTAATGATATATATTTCAATTGTTTTATTTTAAAAAAAATAGTGATTTTAAAACATAAAAAATAATAAATAGTAAATAATTAGTGTTATGTATGTAAATATATAATTAATTTTTAACAAAACTATTATAACAGTCAATAAATTAAAATAAAAATTATTATAAAATTAGTTTTGATAAATTTTACTTTTTAATTTACGATGAAAAAAATTCTTGAATTATAAATTAGTTCATCTTATTTTGAAAAATAAATAAAATTAATTCTTTTGGTTTCAAAAATAAATTATTTAATTTTTTTAATCAGTGTTGATCACGAATAATTTATTTTTTTAAAAAAAAATTCTCATATTTATACTTTTTTTTCTTCCTTTGTTTCTTAAAATAAAAAATAAAACCATTAAAATAACAAAGAGGATAAAAAAAATTATTTTTTGAACTGAAGGGATCAATGGTGCTATGTACTCGGATACATAATTAATTTTTAGCAAAACTAATGATATATGTAAATATATATAACTATTTAAGTTGTATGAAATATATTAAAGCTAATAAATTGAAATAAAAACTATTACAAAATTGGTTTTCATAAATTTTACTTCTTAAGTTATGATGAAATAGATTATTGAATTGCAAATTAAATTATATATTAGTTCTTCTTGTTTTGAAAAAAAGTATGAATTAATTATTTTAATTAGTGTTGACCACAAATAATTTATTTTTTATTTTAAAAATATCTTTTTTCATATATTTTCTCTCTCTATTTCTTGAAACAAAAAATAAAAACATTGAAATAACAAAAAGGACAAAAAAATAGTTTTTAAACCAAAGGGGATAATGATGTTACGTAAGCGGATACATAATTAATTTTCAACAAAACTAATGACACACACACACACACATTAAAAAATATCTAAATTATATGGAATATATTAAACTCAATAAATTGAATAAAAATTGCGACAAAATTGGTTTCTATAAATTTTACTTCTTAATTCATGATGAAAGAGATTCTTGAACTGTAAATTAAATTATAAATTGGTTCATCTTGTTTTGAGAAATGAATTAATTAATTCTTTTGGTTTCAAAAATAAATTATTTAATTTTTTAATCAATGCTGACCATGAATAATTTATTTTTATTTTATAAAATGTCTTCTTTTTATATATTTTTACTTATTTTTTATTCTGTCTATTTTTTTAAATAAAAAAATTGAAATAGCAAAAAGGGCAAAAAAATAAAAAAAGTTTTTGAATCACAAGCACTAATTAATTTGTTTATTGAAGAAAGAGGGACTAATTTATAATTACTCTTGAATAACAAGTGACTTTGGCTTCCCTGTTGAAAACAAAAAAATAAAAATAAAATAAAAGAAGGCAGGAGCATTAAATATTCAATCTGAAAAAAAGGAGAAAATAATGAAAAAGGCCCAAAAATAAAATTAAAAAGAGAATCAGTCAAGGAAAAAATAAAGTTTCTCAAATCCATCGAGTGTCAAAAGAGAAATTAACGAAAAGGTAGGGACGAAAATCAAGCAATACAATGAATAGTGAATCTAAGTCTAAAAAAATAGTAAATAAATAGTAAATATCTTAGTTCTTTTAATTTTTTCCTATTAATATATATTAAATTAAAAATAAAAGATAAAATTTTTATTTAATTTCATAATTTTTAATCAAATTTTTTATTTTATTCGTGCTTCTTTATGTTTTTCATAGATTTTGTTATTAAAAAAACACAATTCGTTTTTTTTCTATTCACTCGTTTTTAAATAAAAACCTACAATAATATAAATATAAAATTTAATATAAATTTTTTAAAAATATCTTAATATTTTTTTGATAAGGCTATATTCGAGAAATATATCGGTAATATATCAAAATTCATATAAAAATTAACTAATGAATTTTTAAAACTTTTTAAAAATATTCACAATTGATATATAGTCACACACACACACACACACACACACGCAAAACAATCAATAATATCAGGCATAAAAATATGTATTTTAATTATTAGGTGGTTCCTTTAAAATATTAAAAATAAATAATAGGAAATAATTGATGTTATATGTGTAAATGTAAAATTAATTTTTGATAAAATCAATGATCTCAATACTTTTTTGTATGCATCATTACCAGCTATATATGAATTAAAAAATATGTTTAGAAAAACTTAAGTTGTAAGAAATATATTAAAGTTAATATAATATAATTAAAATAATTTAAAATTTTATTCCAAAAAAATTGATTATATCAAGAATAAGTTAAAGAATCACGTGAATTCTATTATTTATTAAAAAATATATTAAAAATTCATACATAGAGAAAAATAAATCATATTTATGAAAAAATAAAATCTTATAAAAAATTAAAAATTTAATTTGATGAGAATTTTTATAATAAACGACAAATTTAAGAGATTAATTTTAATTAATAAAAAATATAATCCGATATATATGTTTATTCTAAAATTTAAAAACATAAGAAGCCACAAACATCTTTTTAAAATATGAGGAACAAAAAATATATTTTGAAAAAATATTAGAAAAAAATAGATTAAGTTAAAAACATGAGATGTCAAAATATTTTTAACAATATGAGGATTTAAAAATAAATTTTAAAAACATAAAGAACCAAAAAGAATGAAGTGTAAAATTTAAAATTAAATATCCAAAAAGCTATAGAAAATTATAAAAATGTCATATAATGAATATTGAATCATTCCAAATGAGCAGTAAATGAATAGTATTTTATTGTTCGTTTATCTCACTTCTTTTAATTATATTGTAATTCGTGGGAGGACGAGAGCTACCATTGTTTTGTTTGATCTCAATGGCCGGAGGCGTGTGGGTGATTCTATTTTCATTTGAACTTCGATTCAAGAATCATTGGGTAACTTTGCAAGGTTACAGAATCCTAGTGTTATGCCTAAAGTTGTCTGATTATGCCTAAAGGTGTATAACTGGTCACTAGAAGTTTGAGGTTTTCCCAAATATAATTTAAAAGGATAATTATATAACAAGTATTCTCAATCCTGTATATAAATTTTAATTTTTTTTTGTTTGAGTATTTTTTTTTGTTTTTAAATTGTCAATCAAGTGTTTTTTTGTAAATAAATTTTAATTTTTTTGTTCGAGTATATATATATATATATTTTAAATTGTCAATTAAGTGTTTTTGTAAATTTTTTCGTTGATAATAGATGGTGTGCTGGTTTTTCTCAAAATATTAAATTATAATTGTTTTTTTTCTTCCATAGAACACATGAACTTTAATCTTTTTAGATTTAAGCATATCAATTTTTTCAAAATTACAAATCAAGTATTTTCATCAATTTGTTTCATTAATTGATGACTTGAATATCGAATTACATTTTTTTCTCTTTTATTGTAAATAACTTTCTTCTTAAATTATTCTATATTTTAAAATCCGACAAAGAATTAAAAAATATATATTTTGATAATAAAATATCAAATTAAACTTAGTTAGTCTTGTTGTTAAAAAAAAAAAAAATCGGCTAAGTTTTGAGTGTGAAAGTTAAAGAAAACTAAAAAGAGATTTTTGTTGAAGAAGATTCACTTGTTTTTCTTCAATTTTCATTCTTAGACCTAATTGAGTTTTTTATTTTTTTTTATTTTTAACAACAATTTATATGAGTTTAGTTTGAAATTTTAGAGACAAAAATTAATATTTTTAATTATTTGTTAAATTTTAAAATGATAAAATAATTTAAGGAGAAATTTTTTTTTTCGATAAAAAGAGGATAAAATTATAATTTCGTATTTAACCACATCATCAATCAATGAAGAAATTGATGAAAAATACTTGATTGACGAGTTTTAAAAAAATTGATGTACTTAAAAAAAAATTTCATGTACTTAATTGAAACAAAAGATAAAAAAAAAAATAAAGTTCATGTACTTAATTGAAACAAAAGATAAAGTTATAATTTGGTATTTTGAGGATAACGGATGCATTATCGGTTAACGAAAAAATTGACAGAAATACTTGATGGATAGTTTTAAAAAAAATTAATATATTCAAACGAAAAGCTTAAACTTCATGTACTTGATTGAGCAAAAATTAAAAGTTAGTATACTTATAGTTTAATTATCCCATA